GATGCTGCTTCAGATTCTGTGTCTCCCTCTCTCTCTGCCCCTCCCCTGCCTGCTCTCTGTCTCTCTCTAAAATAAACAAACATTGGGGCGCCTGGGTGGCGCAGTCGGTTAAGCGTCCGACTTCAGCCAGGTCACGATCTCGCGGTCCGTGACTTCGAGCCCCGCGTCAGGCTCTGGGCTGATGGCTCAGAGCCTGGAGCCTGTTTCCGATTCTGTGTCTCCCTCTCTCTCTGCCCCTCCCCCGTTCATGCTCTGTCTCTCTCTGTCCCAAAAATAAAATAAAAAACGTTGAAAAAAAATTAAAAAATAAATAAATAAATAAATAAAATAAACAAACATTAAAAAAATAAAAATAAAAATAATAAATAAATAAAAACAAGTTTGAAAAAGAATAAAGGAGGAGGAATCCTACTACCTGACTTTAAGAGGTATTATAAAGCTATAGTAATCAAGACAGTGTGTGGTATTATTGAAGAGACAGGTAGATCAATGGAGCAGAACACAGAGTCCAGAAACAGACACACACAAATGTAGACAACTGATTTTTGCCAAGTCTACAAAGGCTATTCATCAATGGAGAAAGCACTGTCTTTTCAAATGATACTAAAACAACTGGACATCCATACATAACAAAATTAATATTGACCTAATCCTCATACCTTACACTAAAATTAACTCAAGATGTCTTGATACAGAAAACACTGTACATAGAAGAAAAATACGGATAAACTGGAATTTCTCAAAATTAAAAACTTTTGCCATATAAAAGACACTATTAAGAGAATATCTGATATGCTACAAGTAGAATACATTTGAAAATCACACATCTGACAAAGCACTTGTATTCAGAATCTTTAAAGAAAAAAAATGACCCAACCAAAAAATGGGCAAAACACTTGGACATTTCACCAAGAACTATGTATTACAGATGGCAAGTAAGCACATGGAAGGATGTTCAACAAGTCATTAGGGAAATGCAAATTCACACTGTGACGCTACTACATATTTGAATAGCTAAAAATAAAAATTATTAATAATATCTACTGCTCTCCAGATAAGAACAGTTTGGCATACACTTATCATATTACTCCTAACAACGTTTATAAAGAAATCTGTACACAAATATTTATAGAGGCTCTATTCATAATTACTCAAAACTGAAACAACCCAAATATTTTTCAATGAGTGAGGATACACAAATTATGGTATATTCATTCAATAAACTACTACTCATCCATCAAAAGGAACAAACTATTGATATATGCAACAATTTGGGTAAATCCCAAAGGTACCATGCTAAACTGAAGACACCAGTCTCAAAAAGTTACATAGTCTATGATTCCACTTACATGACACCTTAGAAATGGAAAACTCACATAGTGACGGAAAACAAATCAATGGTTGCTAAGAGTTGAGCATGTGGAAAGACTGATTATAAAGGGATAGCACCAGGGAGGTTTCTCCAGTGATTGAACCATCTTGTATCCTGATTATAATGACAGTTACACAAATTGATACATGTATTAAAGTTTATAGGACAATACACCAGAAGAAAGTCAATTTTACTCTACGTTGATTTAAAAAGAAAGAAATCCTAACACTAGAGAAAATAAAAAGTCATTCTGGAAAGGAAAAGTTGCTACAGCATACTACTTGACTGTCAATAGCATTCACAGTCATAATAATGTAAATATTGATCTAATGGAAAGCGTGGTATATAGCAAGATTAGTAAGGGGCGCCTGGGTGGCTCAGTCGTTAAGTGTCCGACTTCAGCTCAGGTCATGATCTCGCGGTTCGTGAGTTCGAGCCTGGCCCCACAACAGGCTCTGTGCTGACAGCTCAGAGCCTGGAGCCTGCTTCGGATTCTGTGTCTCCCTCTCTCTCTGCTCCTCCCCCACTCACACTCTGTCTCTCTCTCAAAAATAAATAAACATTAAAA